GAATGCCTGCCCATGGCTAACTTGCATACATCCAGAGTATTGTAAAATTAGGTAAACTTAAAGCCAGGTCTTTGAAATTATACCACAACAGACATTTAATTTCACAAGAAAATATTTTCATTTTGATCAAGCTGGTTGACTAAGTTATTTTCATGTATTTCTTGCAACATTCAATGAAATATTTACATTTCTACTTCCACCTTTGTAATTCTCTAGCATTTTAAGTAGAAAACTCACAGCTGCACATAATCTGAACTCTACATAGTTTTAAAAGTGCATTAAGCTTTATCTGCTACTAGTAAGAGCAACAAAAGTGCTCTGTGTAAGTCAGATTCAGAGTTACATATTAAAATAATTTAAGTTGAAAGTTTCTCTAAAAACGTAATTTAGAAATACACATTTAGTTAATACTGAATATACTTTGCATCCTTCTACCTTAATCTTACATTGCACAGACTACAGTATTTTTTCCAATCTTAGTACCAAAAATTAAATATCCACAATTCATTTAGAGTTTTATTCATTTAGAAGCTTAACTTAATGCTTTAACAGATATTAAAAAAAACAAACAAAAACCACAACAGACCAATTTCTCAAGCAAATGAAGTGGTGCAAAACCTGTTTGTAACTAAAAAAATCCCTTCAAACTCAGGGTTTCCCCATCCATGCACTGCAGAAATTTGTTTTACTACAGAAAACAAACAAACAAACAAACAGGGAAAAACCCCACAACCCGCCTTTAAGACACTCTCTCCAGTTCAGCATCAATTCAATGCCCTCAGTCACAAAGTTCTCTATAACAAACCTTTACTGTAAGTGAAGACCTGTCATTTTGTGCAAAAAGTCTTCTATTTGGAATAAAATTGATCCAAATTAAGTAACAAAATCTGGTCTCATGAGAGTTCTTCTTCAGCTCCAATGAGAGGAATTGAATATACACAGGGAATAGTTTAAAAAAGAAATTAAAACAATACTTTACTTGGAAAGACCCACAGTAAAAATCCAGTTATATACTTTCTTATTCTTATATAAGGAGGATGGATTTTAAGTTTCATAAAGACAAATAAATTAATATTCGACAAGTATTTAGGCATGAAAAATATCATTACTCCCAATGGATTTACTATATCCAACTGATAAGTGTTATAAATTTTTTAATATTTTTTTTCTTGGTTGCAATATTGAACTTGCTTTCTTTGACTTCAAGCTTCTTCAAGAAATTCTTGGTTTATGCAAACCAAATAACAATATGTGATGTCCTCAAAATAGTATCAGGAGCACTTACTCATCGTACTTGATATGATAAATAGCTTCTTCATCAGTGTCCATACAGTCTGAGTAAGATGTGGATGGAATACTGTCCAGATTATTTGCCTTTTCTCTAGAGTGATCTTGACTTAAGTTTCCATTAGTCCTTTTGTAAGAATTGCCACTTTTTTGAGCTTTACCATTCTTATGTCCCTTTGTTGCTCGGGTAACGTTTTCTATATGAGCTTCAAACCAGGCTCCAATGCTGACATCACGGGCATCCACCAACTCATTTATCTAAAAGGAAAAAAAAAAGAATAATGAATTTACAGTTATTTTATACAATCTCAAATAAGGAAAAAAAATAGGACAATTTACAACACTACCACATAACTTTGTTATCAGCAAAATAATAAACTCTAGTCATCAGTTGAGCTTGAGCAAGTATTTTATTAGTCTTTATTAAAATCTAATATGTACATAATCTGTATGTAATTTTAAAAAGCAAGACTAGACTTTTTTTTCCCCAAACCTGACATACAGCTTAATCTCTTTTATTATCCTTTGGCTCTTGCTTCACCAATTGTTCTTTATGGCTAAAATACACAGCATTAAAATACTAGCTCCCAAACAAGTGATTTGAAGACTTTCCACAGCCCACAACTTGGAATTATTTAAAGTTCTATCTTTCTAGCTTCCAAGATTTTTTTTAACCCTTCAAGACCCAAGGAGAGAGAGGGAGAAAACAAGTCTAACAAGGTTAGTCATAAGATTTTGTCTGACTGTGGTGAAATGACAAGAAATGGAGCTATATCCCAGAATTTCTCCCTTCTGTACTCACAGTAATATTGGTATTAAGCAACCAAATCACTTTACTATTCTAAATCATGTTTCAAGTCTTCAGCTAATTAAGAAGGTATTACTTTAATACTGAGGACACTGAAAAGATTTAAATAACACTTCATCAACAGTATACCAAGTATAAAAAAATTATTACAACATAACTACTGCACAGTCATATAATAGAAAACATCTGTAATAAACAACTATCTATATATACAATGTACATATATGTAAGCACACACATACATATATACTTAGTTTCAGCTACAGCCTTTGTCAACTATGAATGTGGTGGCAGACAGATACTTACTCTTACTAACCCCAAAGACTAATTTCTATAATCTGAACAATCTTACTCTATTTTTGCAGGAGCAAGCCAAAAACCAAAAACATGGTAACTTTTAGTATTTAAAGTGAAGCAGTCCTTAGGCATCTGAAAGTGCAGCTGACAGCAGTTTGAGCTAACAAGCTAACAAGAATGGAGTACCTTTTATTTTACCCTTTTCATTCACCTTCTTAAAATAACCTCCAAAACTCAATCTTTTAGTTTTCCTCCCATGTAAAATACCAACATGTATTTTTAAATTTTTATTCCCATTACCTGCAGTATTCAAAGTACAACTGTTTACCAAGATGAAGATTTCAGCCACATAATAAACAAACCAGAGAAAGACAGCCTCATTTAAAATCTATCAATCTAAACAAATAGTGGATACCAGCACTTCTAGAAAGAACACTCATGAAGGCATCCCTACACAACCCTACATGTATTAATTAGTTGTACCTCACAGTGCTTCTTTACTTTCTCCTCTCTTAAATATAGTTGAGCAAGACCCTCACTACTAAGGATCTCCCCATCTGCTGTTATTTCTTGAGACCAGTTACGAAAGTGCCAGAGGATGCCATGTTGGCAATGTCAAAAATCATCACCAGATGCAGAACAAAAAAAAAGTGTAAAATGTGTAAAACTAAATTTAAAAAATGTTAAGTTCCCTTAATCATTCCTCTCCAATGCATCCCTCCAAAAATTGATGTGCATGCTTACACAACAGGCCTCCCTTGCAGAGAGTAAGGGCAAATATTACAAGCCACTGAGGAACATCAGACAACTATTTTGTTAGTGGTGTCGGGCTTAACAACTGGTTTATTAGTAGCTCTGTTTGAACAGTACTAAAAAAGTACCGATATTAATTATATATTCAGTTTGTTTTTTCTATTCCAAGCTAGTTAGATTTCTCAGCTAAAATGTTTTACTACAGCCACAGATTTTTGGAAGAAAAGTTATGAAGACAGTGTGAGAATCAGAAAAGGAAACATGCGTATGCTTCTGAATGAGCTTTGTTTTTTTCTAGCAACAGTCCTGCATGCCTAACCAGCATTACTGTAACTCCCCTCTTGTAACCTGTCTTGTATTCCTTCTTTTGGCATTAGAGATCAGCTGTGGCTACTCTTAGCCAAGGCGATATCCTTCACACGTGCTAAGCCCATCTTGGGATGGGCCCCCAGTTCTTAAACCAGATACCAACATCAATTCTCAGTCATAGTAACAAGTAACAGGAGTTGAACATAATTCCACCCACTACTAGTCCTTCAGAGCCCATGTAAATACCAGGTATCAGGTACAACTGGAATAAAAACAAGCTAAAACATTCCAATTTACATAACAATGACCACACAGAGGAACTCTGTTTAAGGCACTATTTCAACCATCTAACAGCGATTTAATTATTAACTATTGCTTCCAATATTCTACTACCTTCTTTTTTTTCTTCCAAAATTACAGGTTCCATACTGGCTTTCTTTTTGGTAGTTGAAATCAGAAAGACAAAGGAGAGCACACAGGTTGAGACTATTCATTAACATGCAGTAAGTAACAGGTATCTTGGGTCTAGCTCTGGATGCAGATCCAGTGAGGCACAGAGCTTTCCTCAGCCAGAGGAGCTGTAACAAACTATTCCTTCCTATAACTAGATAATTCATTATTGTTTGACAAACAAGCAAATGTAAAATAATTAAATATATCCATCTATTTGGACATATAATATGGCTCAGTTTATGGCCTCTTTTATTGACTTCTATTTAACAAGTTTACTACTTTTGAATTACATTATCGGTTAAAAATATATTCTTAAAAGTTTCCTGATTCTTTAAGTAGAAATCCTCTAAATGTTCCCACTACCACCTACAAATAGCAACGAATGCAATGACAGTACCCTTATTTTTTTCTATATATGTTAAAAACCATGTAGTTGACTGAAAAAGTCAATTCACAGGCAATTAAGGAGGAAGTGTCAGGTCCTTAGAGATTGCAAAAATGTCAGTAGACTCAAGAGAACAGGTTTCCCAAATGTGTTTGCCAGTATCACCATTCCCTGTTCTATTTTATTTTAACCCCTGAACAAAATGGCTGAGAGACTACATGATATACTTTTTAGCATTCTTGAAAATATGTATTTTAGTACTCCTTTCCTTTGATCAACTGATCTTCTATGCCCTTCCATCTTCCCAGTATTCTCCTCATCTTTTCTCATACTACCTTTTACACTCATTGATTAATTATAAAGCATCAGAACTGAAAAACTGTGTTTCTTCCCACTGTAATAAACTCAGATAAATAAAAAAAAGGAAGTACAGAAGTTGTGCCAACATATTCAAGATACTATTTTTTTATTATTACCTGTTTCATGAGTACTCTAAACTTTTTACAGAACATATTTTGGAGAACACACTGTGTCAGAGGTTATGAACTCTCCTGAAATCTGCAACATAGTGAGCCTGGTACAGAGACACTTTAATGACTCTGCAAGAGTTAGCTTAAGTGAAGTCAATTTGACTTATGTGAAATTGGGAATTATGTGAAATCATGAAAGAAAGCAATGAGGATACACACTTTTATACAATAAAACAATAAACTTCAACAATAAAATTAAACCCACAAGTGTGATGCAGGTTTCCAGCTTTTGAAGTCTGTACATACCTTGTACAATCCAATGCCAGGATCAATGAGAAATGAGCGTGATGACGTAGATGGCTGACTGGGTGATCCACTATTTGTTTTTTTGACTTTGTTCTTGCAGTTGGAAACAGCACAGGGATTGACTTTTCCATCCTGATCTGTCACAGAAGCAGCAGTAGGAGCTTCAGATTCAGAACGTATCAAAAGCTGAACTATGTCATTCAGTCCAACATTGTAGTCAAATAAAGTGTGTCCATCTTCCAGCTGTCAAAAGAAAGATATACTTGTAAAATTCTACCTTGAGCTACAAAACTAGTTTCCAAATCTTCCTTTTACAGACAATAATTGTACAGACTAGAAGAGACAACCCATCTATTTCACATAAATAAAAACCTATTTCTTAAGCATGTGCATAAACAAGCTCTCAATAAGTTACCTGCAGCCATGAATTCATTCAATGAAAATCACTGAAAGGCTTATAATTAGAAACAGATCTTTACACACGTTGGACCTTTTAATTATGTCTCAACATCCAAAATAATGCAGTGATTTTCTAATAAAAAAACATGTAGGACCAATGTCACAACTTAAATTATGTATGCAATAGCTATAAATACATGTAAGAATTTTTAAATTAGCAATCATTGTGTTGTGTATATTTCAGCTACATAATTTCACAATTCAATCTTTCTCAATTTTTGAGAAAGGCAATAACTAATATTTCCTTAATATTTTGCAAACTATTTCCTAAACAGAACACCTACAAATAAAAAAACCTCCTACACATACAACTCCCTTTACTTTTCAAAAGTCTTAAGATCTGAAACTATCATGTAAGAGCAATTACACTTAGAGGGAAGCAACACCAAAAATACATACTGGGCTTTCAAGTTTACGACAGGAAGTTTCCTAAATTGAGGGCATTCAAAAGCACTTCTATTCCAGATTTAGCCAGGTTCCCTGTTCCCCAGCCCCTCAATCCCAATATCAAAACAAGATTATTCACTGAAAGCAAGATTTTTAACTAGTCAGTTTAAAAAAAAACCTGAGCATGTATGTTGTAGCACACCCTTAAATAACCTTGTACATCAGGCCCCACTATATTCCAGATGCAATCAGATCCGGCAAACACCACAATATAAATAGAACTAGACTTTTTAATCATATACAGCACACAGTTACTAAACATTGCTTTGAGTCCCACTCTGCACTGCTTTAAGATACCTGTTATCATCTTTATTTTACCTGATGATCTCACCTACCTACAATTAAACTATGAAACTCACACCAAAAACCATCAAGTTGTATGCTAGAAGAAAAACAGTAGTGACCAGTGCCACTCTGCTCAGTTAAATACTCTCAATGATCTACAGCATCCTTCAAGCAGGTATTTACTTAAAGTATAATGCATTGCTTTGGGACATCAAAACTAGAATTTGACTGGTTACATTTTGCAGTGGGAGAAAAACATGTGTGATTAAAAAACTCCCACCTCTTTCCAAATTACTTTTGCAACAAAAAAATTAACTGGTCTTTTTCCAGAATAGGTTCGATTTTCAACATCACTGCTTCAGATACCTCTTCAAACAGATCTGTTTTCATGACCTTATGGGCAGTATCAATCCAACAAGAAGCAGGGAACAGGAATGAACAGAAAAAATAAAGAAGTGGGAAGGAACTCTCCAGCTTCTCGCTAATATAGTTAAGTAGAATGCACATTTCTCTTTTCATCCCCTTTTTTCAAAACAACTCTAAAGGGAGGAGGACAGTTATGGACCTACACTGACACTCATGAAACCAATCAGTTCTTCTGTGAATTCAAGATCTGTGTAAAGGAAAATTACTGCTGATACCTACTGCACTCACAGCTAGGATGCATAAACAGGAATACTTACAGTTTGTTTCAATGTAATTGAAGCTGACCCAGCTGTCTCCCAACAGCTATGGTAACAACCCTTGTTTAGTTAGCTGAGTGTTAAACACACAGCAGATAATACCGTACTGAAGATGCTGATGTCATAACTAGTAAATGAACACAAGTTAAAGACAGAAATTTCCCCCACAGCTGTTAATCTACAGGTGACTACCCACACTGCCTAATATCCCTAGAGCTTTAGGCCAGGGCTACATACTGAGTAGCAAGCTACCTAAGCAAGTTTAAGTAACCTTTCCCATCCCACCATGTGATACTTTCCTGCGCTTTTGACAACTCTTAGATTCAGAGGACAAAGAAACCCACTCCAGGTCCACTTTGAAGATTCAATCCCCCATCAAGTGATTTTTCTGTAGCAAAATGTTTAAAAAAAAAAAAATCAGCAGTACAACTGCAAAGCAGATAACTTCTGAAATAATGAATTCAATGTTCTTGGAGACAACATAACTTCTGCTCTGCTTTCCTGTTCCAGTAGGACCTCTGTGGCAGAGGTGCCAGTGCACACTTTCTAGAATCCTATGGCATGAGGAAGTCTTTTGAAAGCTAATGCAGTGGAGAAAAAAGTATAACCTTGCTCCTGGTAGAGAGAAGATACATAGGCAGAACATAGGTGAGATCAAAGAAAAACTGTCATTGTTCCCTTTCTCTCAGGGCATGCCATGTACAGGCTGACAGAAAAATATTTCTAGGTATTGCAGTTTAAAGTCAATGCAGTGAAGATCTAAATCTGAACAGCCTGAATTATCTACCATAACTAGGTAACCAGTGTCAACATCCAACTAAAAGTGTCCTGTGTCTAATCTTTGTGATCTATTCATCAATCATGATTGCAGAGTTAAGTTACAACTTTGATCCACAACCAAATCCTCCCTCTCCCTATCAGCACGAGACAAGAAAAAAAAAACCAGTTAAACTAATCTGTCCAGGAATAAATGTATTTAACATGTTCAGAAAGCAAGACATACCTAGGCTAGGCCTGGAGTAAGAATAAGAATTCCCTAATGATGCACACACCCACCACCATGCACAGACTACCTATTCCTGCATAGTAATTAAAAAAAGTCAGCTTTGATGAACATGAACTAAATTGTCAGCAGAATAAACTGGTGACTGCAAAATTATAAGTTAATACTATGAAGCAGACAAGGAATTAGTATTCTGTTCTCTGCCCAAGTAGTCGTGAGTTTGGTTGTTTTTGTTATGGGGGTTTTTTTGTTGTTGGGTGGGATTTTTTTATAATCAGAATCCTTTGCAGAAATATTTTATGACTATAGATTATTTTGTGACCAGTGATGTCACACCTAAGTCTGAAAGCACAGTAACAGAGATAAGACTACTATAAGCACACTTCAAATGAGGCAAGATGTAGTGTTTGGCAATGTGATAAGTAAAAGAGCACCTTTTTATAGTATTAGCAAAAAATATGTTTCCAGAATATTAGCCACCATATAAATTTAGACCAAGTCAATGACTCTGTAACACTGCCTGTTTCTGGGAACAAAGCAGAGAAACACAAGAACTCAACAAGTAAAATCCAGTTCTTATGCTATTCGACTTACAAGAATTAATATGTCTATCTACAAGTATACCTATACCCAGCATTACTGCATCACTGAAAACTGAAATCCTTTGAGTAATGAAGTTGGAAAACAGTGTTTAAAGAACGTCATTCCACAACAGACAGAGAGAAGAACTGTATGTTGTTTCTTGAATTACTGACACTATACTGACATTAACATAACCCTGGGATCTTGGCCAGTAGGGCTACAACCTCAGACTACTAGACTACTAACAGTAATGCAGCAAATCACTTTACAGTGTACCTGTTCCTACAGATACCATAGTACCTTCTACCCTGTTCCAAGTTGGCCAGGGACTGTAGATAACTTTTCAAATTATATTACTAAAGCAGTATCAGATGCAGAAAATTCAGGACCTATCACTATGTCTGGATATTAACAAGAAGTAGGAGAAAAAGTGTGATACCCTCCTTTCTATAGACAACTAGCATTTTAAATCCATCCTGGAATACGGTATTCCTTACCCAAAAGAACCACACACGAAAAAAACAAAACAAAAAAACCAAAAACCAAAACAACAAAAACCAAACCAAAACCACCCACAAACACCTCTTACTTCCCAGCAAACACCACCTTACTTTGCCATCATCAAAATTCACGGAAGCATTACTGAATTGAGTCCTGAATAACCACCCAGACAAGTTGAATATTTAACTTGGAAAGGTAGAATATTGCCTCAAAAACAGTCTGGCAATTTGTGGAAATAGGTCCAGCACCCAAGTCAGATCTAGGGCATGCTTGCTTCTAACAATAGTTACTTATATAAATGTATGAACAATTTCATCCCATTCTGCTGCATACAAACATACTATGATTCCCTAAGAATATGTTTTCTAGACAGTGTATTAAAAGAAAAGAAACATTACATGTTTATTTAATGATTCACTAACCATTTAAGTATACTTGTCATTCACAAGTTTATACATACAAACAAGAAACAAAAGTAATTAGGCAAGTCCCAGATAATCAAGCTGTATCTCACTCAGGTCAGTTATGATTTCTTAATGGGTGATTAGAACATGTACTAAAGCAAAAATAACTGAACAGGCAATTTCATGTATGATTTTATTGCTAGCTCTTCTGATTCTACTGCCACTTTAAAAAAGACGCATTTTTTCCCTCAGCAGTAGATTTCACTTTGTTTTTCCTCCTCTTAATGACTGGCATGCTTCAAAAGCCCTTAAGCCTTCATTAACATATTCTGAAGGAGATGACACCAAAGAGCAGCTAGATTTACTGTCTCTAACATTCTTTCAATGTACTAAATATCCAGAGAAACAGATTACATCTTTCAAACTTCCCAATGTATTTTCACAGATCACATGTTATAGACACTATCAATTTCAAAATATGTCTAGAAAAGGTTGCTACAAATACTGAAAGGTAAGATAAGACCATGCTCACGCTACTACACAAAAGTAGCTGTTGCAATGCAATATCGGAATTGATACCTACCTACAATCACTGTTAGAACTGTCCTGTAACATCAAGTCACAAATGACTTTAAGAATATGTAGAAGCTGCACTTACACAAATGTGAACAATCATGCAGAGTGCAGTATGATACTACATTACTTGGAAAAAAAATATGCCTGACAATAATTACCCAATTATTCACTATTTACAATCACCCTAACTTGTCTACAAGTGCCAGCAGAAGCACTGCTCATTATAGGTTACACTGTGCGTAGAGACCGCCCAAGAAAGCACGTAATCATTCTTGTAAGAACACATTAAACTAGTGCTTTTAT